ATTACTTCATGTCTATTTTACTATTAAGCTTCTCACTTCTGCAGCTACTCTTTGGATGAAAGACTTGTGTCCAGGGTTTGGAGTAAATGGCTTAGGAAGTGCTTAAGTGCATTGATAAGCGGTATGGAAATCTACTTACTATTGGTATTGCCTTGAAAAGAAAAACTTACCTCCAGGTTTTGGATGCCTTAAAACATTGTTGATTAAAGGCCTATCCTATAATCCCCCAGATTATTTACAGAAGGAGGGGTGGCATATACTTCTATAAACTTTGCAGTTATATGTGAACTATCTCTTTCCAGTTATACATAGTGTTTATGTTGTTAAATGTGTTATAATGGGTATAATGACATTGTTGCACTGTGCATTGGTTAACAAAGTCACAACAATTAGCTGTAAAAGTAACTGTTGTTCCTATAGAAGGCTACCTGATTGCTAACTGCATTAGAGTTGCCATATTCAGGATATTCCTATATTGGTTTATGTGAATCTAGTTTACGTTTGTTGTGTTATGTTTGTGTTTGTGTGGTTTAATGCCGAGAGCCAGTGTGGCATAGTGTTTTGAGTGTTGGACTGCAACTCTAGAGACCAGGATTCGATTCCCAGCTTGGCCAGGAAACCCACTGGGAGACTTTCGGCAAGTCACATGCTCTCAGCCTCAGCGGAAGGCAATGGCAAAAGCTTCTCAGAACCAATCTTGCCAAGAAAACCCCAGGGCAGGTTCACCTTAGGGTCGCTACAAGTCGGAAATGACTTGAAGGCACACAGCAGCAATGTGGTAAAGGTGGTAAAAAATATTAATGAGGAAGAACAGACAAAGCTAGGAGAGGCTGTTGCAGTTTGCTTTTGCCTGAGCCTGCTGGGAAGAGCAGGATGCTGCCCACTCTTCTCCTTTCTCCTCTGCTGGGCTATCCAAATGCAAACTATTTTTGCAACCTGAACTCATTTTGCGGCAATGAAAGTAAACTGAGGACAAAGGGGGAAAGTGGAGTGAGGAGAGAGAAACTGGGACATTTTAAAAGCAGCTGACAAAGTGGGATGATAGAGGAATAACTGGGATTGTCCCTGCTGAATCAGGACCGTTGGAGATCATGAACTTGCAAATTGGAGAATCACCATTTATTGCTTTTTGCTCCTTTTTCCAGTTTCCACAAAACATGGGGCCATTCAGGGTGAACCTTATTTGAAAGTTGACTGCAGTTAACAGCAACAATCTTCAGGCTGAATCGTGGAAGAACAGATAGTAAAATATAATTTCAATTTAGCCTGATCCAGTTTAGGCCCAGGTGTACTGGGAAAAAGACCTGGTGTAGCCATGGGATCAAATGGAGGAAAATTTCAGCCAGTATTTGCAAGTAGCTGTGACTGCCTGCTAGCTTGGATAGAAGAGCACAGAGGCTCATTCAGTTCTTTGGATTGCCATCCAATGACTAACCAGAGCTGATCCTACTTAGCTTCCAAAATCAGGACCCGGTGCCTTAAAGTTTAGGATACTTAGGCATGCTTCTAAATAGGGTTTCCTAGGCAATGAAAACTCAGAGATGGTTTTTCCAGTTCCTTCCTCAGAAATATTGATTGCAGCATCTGGTATCCATTGGTCGTTTCCCATCCAAGTACTAACCAGACTTGACTCTGCTTAGCTTCCACAATCACATGGGATCTGTGGCCTTTAGGGTATTTAGCCCCTATGTAATGATTCTAGACTCCCACCAGCCTTCCAATAGCCCAATGTATTTATTTTTTGGTACAGATTTTGGGTGAACATTTTTATCATCAACATTATCATTATCAGGTACATTTCTACCCCACCTTTCCCTCACGACTGGGACTCAAAGCAGCTGAAAATGAAAACAATTCCAATAGAATAATATATAGAGAGACCTAAAAGGCTATCTATTCCAACCCGCTGCCATGCAGGAAGACACACTCCAGCCTCAGAATATAAAGCAAGGCTTCCCACATCTGAAAGAACAGCTGCATTCCTTTTCCCCAGGGACAAAAGCTAGTCAAAACTTTGCTGACCTTCCTCTTAATGGCAAAATCCTGTGCAGTATTGTGGCCAAAACAATGAGATAAGAAGCAGAAAGCCTTCTGGCTAAATCATGCCCCTGCTATGAACTTCCTACTTTTACTTTTTGGAAGGCAGTGCAGTGTTGGTTTTTATTTTATTTCCATCCTGCCTTTTTTGTAACATGGGACCCAAGGCAGGTTCCCACAAGGTTAGCAAGATGGCTTCTTCAAAGACATAGCAGTGTGAGTCTAGGGAAATCAGTCTGCAAAGGGATCTTGAGACTAACTGGATGAAAAAGTTGGCAGCATGAGCTTTCCTAGACTTCAGTCTACTTCCACAGATGCATTTGGTGGAGTGGAAAGCCCAGGGACAGACTGATATAGCAGTCTGCATGTGCGAATGTCCACAGGAATGCAAAACTTTGTGGGTGTGGAGTTGAGGTGGAAAGTTCAATTTTTAGGAGGGTTCTTGGGAGACCAAGGAAGCATGCTGCCTAAAACCAAGGTGAATAGACAGCCATAGGAATGAGTATTGGGATGTGGTGTGGAAACCAAAAAGGAGATGAACTGGCCCAGAGAGTTTCCATGAGGCTGAGAGATTAGCTAGTCTTATAATGTAAAGGGATCTTAGAATCATAGAATTGGAAGAGACCACAAAGGCCATCCAATCCAACCCCATTCTGCCATGCAGGAATACACAATCAAAGCATCCCCAACAGATGGCCATCCAGCTTCTGTTTAAAAACCCACTCCATCACTTTCTTCTACTGTGGAACAGCTCTTACCCTCAGGAAGTTCTTCCTAATGTTTAGATGGAATCTCTTTTCCTGGAGCTTGCATCCATTGCTCTGGGTCCTATTCTCTGGAGCAGCAGAAAACAAGCTTGCTCCTTCCTCAATAGAACATCCCTTTAAATATTTAAACAAGGCTATCAGATCCTCTCTTAATCTTCTCTTCTCCAGGCTAAACATACCCAGCTCCCTAAGTCTCTCCTCATAAGGCTTTATGGTTTCCGGACCCTTTGCCATTTTGGTTATCCTCCTCTGGACACGCTCCAGCTTATCAGCATCCTTTTTTAACTGTGGTGCCTAGAACTAGATGCAATGGCAGAGTAAAATGGTGTCCCTTATATAAAATGGCAAAATCAAGGTTTGCTTTCTGGAAATTGTATTTTTTGGGATATCCTCAATCTGTGGATGCTTGAATCCATGTACAAAAAAATAATTTAAAAATTGTGGACTTGGAAGAACCAACTGTTCTTCTGGGGATGTTTAGCCTGGAGAAGAGAAGGCTGAGAGGTGATATGATAGCCGTGTTTAAATATTTGAAGGGATGTCATATCGAGGAGGGAACAAGCTTGTTTGCTGCTGCTCGAGAGAACAGGACCCGGAACAATGGATGCAAGCTGCAAGAAAAGAGATTCCACCTCAACATTAGGAGGAACTTCCTGACAGTAAGGGCTGTTTGACAATGAAACACACTCCTTCCTCGGAGATTTTGGTGGAGTCTCCTTCCTTGGAGGTCTTTAAGCAGAGGCTGGATGGCCATCTGTCAGGGATGCTTTGATTGGGAGTTCCTGCATGGCAGGGGGTTGGACTGGATGGCCCTTGGGGTCTCTTCCAACTCTATGATTCTATGATTCTATGGTCCCAAACATTTTGGAGACGGCAGATGCAACCTGTTTGAGGCAAACTCTACAAAGAAGGCCCTTGATATCATGAAATACGGAAGTATGAAACAGGGAACACAGATATTGCCTGAAAGTGCCCTACAGCGGTCCCTCTACATTCGCTGGGGTTAGGGGTGAAGGACCCCCGTGAATGTGGAAAAACTGCAAATAAAACAGTAATATTCTTTTTATGCAAGAGGACATCTCTATAGGAATCTCCAGGTCCTCCGGTACAACTCTAGGAGCAACATCTGTCCAAAGTTGATCACAGAATCGTGCTGGAGGACCTCCAAATGCCTAGAGAAGGGTTTGCTCTAGGGACTTCTAGGTTCCCCAGCACAACTCTATGGTCAACTTCCCGCACAATTGCGCCAGAGGACTTAAGAGATTCCTAGAGAGAACATATTAATTAAATCCACAAATAATCAAATCCGCAAAGTCAAAGCTCTAAATGCGGACGGCCAACTGTACGAAATAAAAGTTGGCAGTGAGGGCTTCCCTCTTGAGTCGTGTTTAATCTGGTTATGCATTGTCAAAAGGAGATTTCTCAGGAGGATGCCTAGCAAAAGAGGAGTCGGCAGGGCAGCAAAAACAGCATTTCAAAAGACTTTGGGTTCAAAATGCACATACCTTTCGTTGCACCCAGCTGCTTTCCTTTATTGTTTTCGGGCTGTTCGCACCATTGTGTGACCGTTCCAATGAAAGGCTGGAAGACAGATTTATTGGCGGCTGAGAGGATGTCTTTCTCCGCTTGGCACCAAGGAGGAGGAGGAAGGTTGCACAAGTCTCCCACGCCTGTGTTTCGGTAAGGAAAAGTTCACAAGGTAGGCTGCAATTTGTACAAAAAGAGGGAGAGAAGAGAGAGAGAGAGAAATATTAAAGCTTTGGTCAAATGATCCATTAATACAGGGCCAGTTTTAATTGGAGCCAGAATTCCCCATAACCATCAGCAACAACTCATCCAGATGGCATTTGGCTTTTCATCTGTATCTGTCTTATCTTTTGGAAGCTGCCTTTGAACCCTGGAGCAGGAAAGGGATGGGAGAGAAATAAAGAAAGGAGGAGGAGGAGGAGGAGGAGGAAGAAGAAGGAGATCCAGAAAAGTCTGCGGCTGAAACAAAGACAGGCTGGCCAATCTGGGCTGGTTACCTTTCAGTTTCGTTTCTATGGCTTTTAACGCTTGCATCTGTCCCCTTGTCCCGAAACAAGACAGAGATGCTGCATTTCAACCCTCTGCCCTTGAGTTCAATTTTTCCTTTCTTTCTCTCTGCTGCAATCTTCTTTCTCAAAGCTTTGCAGATGCTTAGTTCCTAAAAAGAGAGCCTGAATGGCATCGTGTTTTTGAGCGCCCGGCTACCATTCTGGAGACCAGGGTTCAATTCCCAGCTCCGCCATGAAACCCGCTGTAGAGCGGGCAGTCACACTCTCTCAGCCTCAATTTTTAATTTTAAAAAATAAACACAATATGAAACCCAGACCCACAGTTTCACATGCGTTATGGTTCCTATGCCATGGCGCAACAGGAAAATAAAAGATGTAAGATGTAGTGGTTTGAGTGTTGGACTACAACTCTAGAGACCAGGGTTCGATTCCCAGCTCAGCCATGAAACCCACTGGGTGACCTTGGGCAAGTCACACTCTCTCAGCCTCAGAGGATGACAATGGCAAACCTCCTATGAACAAATCTTGCTAACAAAACCCCACACACTGGAAATGACTTGAAGGCACACAACAACAATGACGCCCTAAGAGGGAAAGCTCAACCCAGGATCTCTGACCATTAGCCATGCTGGCTGGGGCTTTGCAAGGTAAGGTCCGGAAATATCGAGAAACGTACATTCACCAGGCACTGTTTTGACATTAAATCGGAGCTTGGTCTGATCTCTCAAGACCCAGTTTATGTTCTTCAGTACAGTGAGCCCTTGGTATCTGCTGGGGTTTGGTTCCAGGACCCCCTATGGATCCCAAAATCCATGGATACCCCAGTCCATTTATATACAAAAGGGTATTGTTATTATTATATTATTACTATTACTACTACTGGTCCATTATATCTGCTGAGGTTTGGCTCCAGGACCCCCATGGATACCAAAATCCATCTACGCTCAAGTCCCATTCACTACAATGGCATAGGGAAATGGATTCCCTTACATAAAATGGCAAAATCAAGGCTTGCTTTTGAGAATTTCCATCTTTTTGGAATATTTTCCACTCATGGATGGCTGACTCTGTGGATATGGAGGACCGACTGTGCCAGACCTTAAACAAAACACAGGACCACCTACTAGTTAAGAGGCACAATCCGACGTGCTTTAAAACATACTACAGTTAGTCCTCCACATCCATGGAATTTTAATCTGTGAATCCAAGCATCCAAGGTTTGAAAATATTTAAATATATATATACATTCCCAAAAAGCAAACCTTGATTTTTGTCATTTTATGTAAGGAACACCATCTTACTATGCCATTGCATTTAATGGGACTTGAGCATCCATGGATTTTGGTATCCACTGGAGGTCCTGGAACCAAACCCTAGTGGATACCAAGGGCCCACTGAATATCCTTGTTTTGTACATTTAACTTACCTGTCATTTTAACCCAAAAGGAAACTGTAGTCAAGAAATCAGAAGACGACTCAGGATGCATCTACACTACAGAATTAATGCATGTTGAGACCACTTTAACTGCCATGACTCAAGGCTATGGGATGATGGCATCTGTAGTTTTGTGATTTAGGCTTCTCTGTCAGCGAACTACAAATCCCAGGATTCCTTGGGGTGGAGCTATAACAGTTAAAGCGGTGTCGAACTGCATTAATTCTGCAGTGTGGCAGAAGCCCATAACCAATTATCCCTGGGCAGCATACAATAAAAGCAATTTAAAACAGTAAGGGTTTCTTAACCAGACCAAAGGCATATTCAATCATTTGGCAAGGTAAAACAGATTAAAACAATTTAAAAAGCTTTAGCTGAAGGCAATCCAAAACTATATGTATAAACAGCTTCCAAGAAAATCAGATAGGCTCTAAAAGCTTTAGTAAACAGGAAGGTTTTGACTGAATGACACCAGTGTTGGTATTAACTGGGCCATCATCATCATCATCATCTTTTTCTTCTTCTTTTTTCTTCTTCTCATATCCCATCTTTCTTGCAATACAGGGACTCAAGGTGGCTAACAGCAAATTTAAAAACAGTGCAATTTAAAAACAGACCAAGAAGATGGAATACCACAGTACAAGGGATACCTTCTCTTAAGGGGAAGGAATACCACAAATGGGTGCCACGACAGAAGGCCATGCTTTGACAGTGAAATGCTCCCATAATAGATGTCCTCCAGGACGTGGGGAATATATCCCAAAAGGCATCACCTAGCCAAGTCCCATCAGTTTCCAGAACCTCTTAGAAACTGAATTCCATAATAAATACACCAGAGAAAGAGATTTGGCTGCAATCACAGAATCCTAGAGTTGGAAGAGACCCCTAAGGGTCATCCAGTCCAACCCCATTCTGCCATGCAGGAAGACACTATCAAAGCA